TCGGCTTGCCAAATGTGCCTGAGAGTTATTACTAATTTATCATGAAAAAAGCAACCACCAGTGTGATATAAGCAAGGAAAGCTGGGTAATTTCTCATGTTGTTCTTTTGGACCTTGAGGGGATACCAAGGGGATGTGATTATAATGATTGTAGTCCATGGGTGGGATCTTGCCTTGACTCAATGGACATTCAGATAGTGCTGAGAATGCTGGTGTGGGTGTCAGAAGACCTGGCGTCCACTTCCAGCTCTTCCAGTAGCCACAGCTGGGCCACCCTGAGCCTCAGGGGTAAGTGGAGAGGAAGGAAATGGAAACCTGAAAGTCCCTTCCAGATATGGAGTCTGTGATTCTCCGGAGAGGTGGAAACCTGGGTGCACACTGTATTACATTCTACAGTCTCTCCTCTGGGCCCGCAGCCTGACCATCTTCTAGGGGAAGATGCTCACTCCTGCAGGATTTGACTGACAGCAACTCCTTCTGCCTGTCTCTGAGCAGCTCAGATGATGAAGGCATTCTGTAGAGAATGCTGGCTTGTGAAGCCCAAAACAGTAGCTCTGGGACAATTTCAAGCTAAAGAATCCTGAGCAATTGTGGTTGTACTTGCTTTCTATGGCTGCCTAACAAACTACCACAAACTTCATAACTGGCATTTCTTATCTCACAGTTTCTGTGCATCAGCAATCCAGGTAGAGCTAAGTTGAGCCCTCTGCTCCAGATCTCACAGGGCTGTATCCAGAATGTCAGCCAGGCTGCTTTCTCATTAGCTGCTTACATCGGAAAAGATCTGTTTCCGAGCTCCCTCCTAATTCAGTCCTGGGCTTTGTGGAGCTCAGGGTTGCTTGCTTCCTTAAGGCCCACTGAAGGGTCTCTCTTTAGGAAGGGGGTTTCACCTGATTAGGCCAGGCCCACCCAGGATAATCTCAAACTTGATCAAGGTCCCAAGTGACCTGGGGCTTTACTTACATTTTCAGAATCCCTCACCTTTGCCCTATCACAGACCCTAATCACAGGAGTGATGCACCTTCTTAATCAGAGCCCCTCTGTACTCAAGGACAGGAGACCATATAGGGTGTAGAAGACTGGGATCTCGGGGACCATCTTAGAATTCCATATGCTAGACCCCAAATAAATACTGTCTATATCCCATTTGTTTTAAGAGCAGGAGCTCTAATTCCTTGAAGAAGCTGTCATAACTGGTGCTCCCATTCTGGCAAAGCTAAGCCAGCTCCTGGCTCCCCACTGCACACTAAGTTTTGCTGATAATTTATCATTTCTCTGCTTGGTTTCCCCCAAATTGTCTATAAATTACTTAAGAGCAGAGATGGACTTTTATATCTTTGTATTTATACTTAGCCTGTCAACTTGTACACAGTGGATACTCAGTAATTAATGATTGATTGATAGTATTAAAAAAAGACTTGGTATCTATACAGTTCTTCAAAGTTTATAAATCACTTTCACATGCTTTATTTCATCTTATAGCTCTGTGAGGTGAATACAGCAAAAATTAATGTATAATATTCAAGGTAACTTATTGAAAGATGCTTTAGTAGCAATGTTGAATTAGCTATGCTGTCAAACATGTAACATAAAAGGAAAAATTGCAGAAAATAACTTTTTTCTAGATCATACCTGTCCTGGCTTATATTTTTTACTATTACTAGAACTTTTGGTTTACTTTCAAAGCCCCCGTTATTTTATTAATGTTGCACAAAATGTTAGTACTTCTGTATTTAAGGAAACGGCTTTGAGGGAGGCGTGCTTAAATGGACCCAGTGAGGAATCGGCATAGACTAGACGGTTCTCATTTGTAAATGTGTTTTCTCAGCTTTATTACCCCCCAGACATATTTTAAAGTGAAAATATTCAAATAGTATAGAATTGTTTAATGTGGCAGAACAAATGTCATGAGAGAAAATAAATGTAAACCTACAGATTTCATGAAAAAAATATGTAAAATAAAGCACTGCTGTAGCAAATGATTCATTTAAGAAGATCATGAGCCATGAGATGTTACATCCGCTGGCCCACGTACACCCTGCTCGTCTCACTCCCCGCTCAGCTGTTCAGAAGGGGAAGCTATCTATCAGGTCCTCTCAGTGATCTCCCATGAGAATGCTGTTATGTTTGGAATGCAGTCTGCATTCCAGGAGAAAGGCACTACCTTCCTTTTCCTTCAAGAGATGCTAGTCAAGGCCACTTGCTCACATTTTCAAATTTCTCATATTTTTTCCCTTCCAATTTTGCTGACTGTTGGAACCAGGCAAGAAGAGCAGTGTGCAGTGACCTGCCCAGAGACAAGAAACTAGTGCAATGAGTCTGTAGCTTAAAAAGCAGGAACACTCTTCGCTATGGAAATGTTTCACTGTAGTTAATAATTAAGCTTGCATTCAAAAGTTTTATCTCTGAGCTGCTCTCAAGGAGAGCATTCTGTTCCAGCAAGAGTAATTAACTTGTAGGACTTCTGATCTAGAAGCCCCAGTTTGGCCATCAAGTAGCTGTGTAACTTAGGCATGTCACTTACTTTCCTTAACTCTAAAATGTTTTGATTAGGCAAAATCCAAGCACTCTTTTGTCTTTGAATTACATTGCACAATAATATACATACTATTTTTTTTTTGCAAATTCTTCACTTTACACATTTTAAACCCCAAATGCCCCTCTCATCTTTTTTACATATCAAGTGTGATAATAGAATTGCTTGCCTCTGGAAAACTGGAGATGGTCAAGCAAAACGTTCAAGGTGATTGAACTCAAATTCATTTCTTTTACACCAACCTTTAATGAATAGATAAAGTGTTGGACATTGACTTATTATACTCTGGTAAAAGAACTTATCTACTCCAGTAAGAAAATGTCAAGGATAAATATATACAAAGCTCATTTGGAAAATCGTTTTGAATATCTGATGTTAAGTGGGAAAATGTTAGTGAAGGATGGTCAAATAGAGAGAAAGTTATAGAAGTTTATTGATGTTGTCCCCTTGAATCTCATTTCCCTGAAAGGTCTCTCCTTCAGAGGGGCACGTTCCCTGCAGCAAACACATATCAGGCTCAGGGAGATTCTTGTGATGACCTGTGGATAGTGTAACTAACAACTAGTCTATAACCTAGTATAGAAATGAGTGTTTGCTCCCAGACTGTCTAGCTCCATATCCTAGGGACAAATGTTTTCTTTGAACTATATCACAAATTGTGTCAAATTGTTATTTAAGGAATTAAACTGGCCTCCAATGAAACATTAATCATGTGATATTATTTAATTTACAGGGACAACCTGAGAAACTTAAAAAATCTCTTGCTAGTCTCACCTGCACAAACGTCCCCTCCTGTGTGGCTGAGCCAGCTTGGCAGCTGAGAGTGGGAAAAGCCACAAGGTGAGAAGGACCATATGTCATAGAATCTTGCAGATGGAAACTAGGAAACCCAAGTTACAGTTACACTGGAGAACAGACTGGAGCAGGGCTGAAAACTCAGAGAAAATTTTCAAGATAGGGACAGATTGAATCGCACAATGTGTTCCATGCCACAGTGTATTGTATTATGTGTGACCACTGTCCTTGGAAGAGAAGTGTCCGTGGCTTGTCACACCTGCTGTAGACCGTATGGTGTGTGTTTGCTTCAAACTACAGTTGACCAAGCTCGTACAATCAATGATAAATCATCTTCCCTTTTTTCTGTCAGCTTTCCTGAACTTGCTGCATGTGGGTTGCAAAACTGACTTTTGCTTCCTGGAAATTAACACAGAGAAGAAAAAAAGAGCAATTATAAAATTCACAGATCCATAAAAATAAATAAAGCAAAATGTTCTCTTATTTCTATCCCGGAGAAACAGATCTCTATACAATACTAAAATCATAAAGAGGACACCGTGTAATATAATGGTTAATATTTTCAACCACATCCTTCAGGTAAATGCAATGGTGAGTTTCAAAGTCCTGCCCTACACAATATACTATTCTCTGTTTACTTTCTAAAGAAGTTCTGATGCTGCGTAGGAGTTAGCATTGTGGGGTAAAGCAGCGCAAGAACCACTTTACTACCTGGGTAATACGTGTGCCTTCCCTTGAAGATCATGAGTTGCTGAGGTCAAGAAGAATATCTAATTATTTCATCATGAAATAGCCATGTAACATAGCCAAGTTGTTAACCTAACTGATTCACATACAACGTACATGTAAAATTCTGGGGGATTATTTAATGTATGTGGATGCAGATACATACACATATTTGCCAACACACACAGATTTTTTGTAAATTATTATAGAGGATACTAATACGGATGACTTGAAATTGCCTTTCCTATGCCAGGCCTCTGATCCCTGGGAGGGAATCATGTTATAACTGGTTTTCCTCAGGATGCATCTGCTCACACTTGCCCACACTGAAACTCAGCTGCCACTTCCCGCCCACTCAGCCAGCCTGAGGAATCTTTTTGCTGCCGTCTATGCCTGTCAGCTTGACGTCTTTCTGTTCAATAGCATTTTTAGCATTGTCTGCAAACTTGGAAATGACATGCACACCCCCTCTTCCGGATTAATAAGTAAAAGAAGAAATAAGATTCATCCTGTATTCTGTAAAACATTCATTTATTCTTAAACGTTTTTAAAGGAACTAGTTTTTAATGTTCGTGGTGCATTTTTTCTTTTTTTTCTTTTTTAGCAGTCTCTTGGTAATGGAGATTTGAGCAATTTTAGATTTGGGTGTTTGTGAAAATATTTGCAAAGGAAAAATAAAATCATAGAGTGATAAAATATTGGGTCTGAAAATATCATAGGAGCCTTTTAGATGAACACAGGCCTCACTCTGAAGTAATCCTTACATCCTCACCATAGTGTCCCAAGGGTGATTGGAAAGGCAGTGTCACAGAGACAAAGAGACAGAGAGACAGAGACAGAGAAAGACATAGATAGACAAAGAGAGAAAGGAAGAGAGACAAAGATAGAGAGGCAGGGAAACAGATAGAGAGAGAGAAGTTAAAACAAAAGAGGGCCCATGGACTTCCCTGGCGGTCCAGTGGTTAAGACTCTGCACTTCCGCTGCAGGGGCCCAGGTTCGATCTCTGGTCAGGGAAGATCCCGCATGCTGCGTGGCCTGGCCAAAAAAATAAAATGGGGCCCAGCCTTCACCTGATTGCACCGACAAAGGAGGGCCAGCTCCATACATAGTCTCTGTCCTGGGGCTGGAGTAGAACAGAGCAGGAGGGTGTGGATACCAAGGATTCCCTCGAAATCTGCCCCCCTTCCTGGGATGAACTTGGGATACGCATGTTCCCAAAGGATCCCTGGGGATGAGCTGGCCACAGCCAGGCACGACCTGGCCTCCCTTCACCAGGACTGTGATCAACCCTCCTGGAAGGAAGCCCTGCAGAAAATGCATTAACCTTTATCATCCACCTCATTCAGGGAATTGGAATATTTAGGACTAAATCAATATTTTAACTGGGGTTACGACTTCCCGGAGAGTAAATGACTGTCCCCTGTGCACAGTCCACAGTTGGCCAAGGGGATTTGGGGCACAGTAGGATTCCAATGCGATGTTCAGGCTACACCGGCCAGGATGGCTACACCTGTCCCATCAAGTCAAACTGCATGTGGAAGCACATACTGAGGGTTAGTCAGACATGAACGACAATCATTTTTGCCATTATAGTAAATGTTCTATTAACATTTATGGAAAGAGCATCAAAGAGAGAAAGGAATGCGGGGCGTTCCTCTGCCCCCGCCCCCAGGGGCCCACCCCATGCCTCAGCTTCATGTCTGTCCCATTCTCATACCATCCCCACTGCGTTGTGTGCATGATAGGATTTGTACTTCCTCCTCCTTTTCTTCCTTTCCTTTCTCCCCCCTTGCATTCAAGATTATGAAACTTTGCTGTGGACCCTGCCCTTCCTTCTCTTTCTCCTGTTCACCCTGGTGGTGTGTGGGTGAAATGGGGAGGGGGGCCCCCCAGTACATATCAGCCCAACAGCCATAAGTCTCCTCCTTTATTATTAGGAAACAAAACAACAACAACAAATGGCATCATGAATATGAACAGCATTGTCAGGTGAATTAGCTGAAGTGCTTTTTTTTTTTGTACTCTGTCCTCAAATTTAATGGAATAATGTGTCTTGCATATATAAGAAGAAAAGATCTACCTTCAAAAATGTATTTTTTTTAACGGTAATGGAATATCAGAGGCTTTTAAGGCTCCAAAAGTATTGAAATTATACAGAATAGCTGCTTCTAGCTAAACCTTAGTGGCCACAATGCCGCTAGTTCACCAATCTTTAGATATGTGGTTTGTTTCTGTTTTGTTCTTCTGAGTTTTCTACTTTCAGGAGCTTTCTGGACAGACATTCTTGAACCTATCGAGGTCCTCCATGACATAAATTAAATACAGGCTGCTTTTGTTTTCTCTTGAGCCAGGAAATTACATGTGAAATTTTATCTTCCTAGAATACAATTTTGTGCAATCACTTAGTAACTCAGTTTGTTCATCAGTTAAATGGGTTTAATAATGTCTGCCTCACTTATTCCACAGTGTTTGGTGCCATTTCTTGCTATGCCTAAATTACGGATTGACATGAGGTGTCCTTTCTGGAACCACTCCCATAGGGATCTCCTGTGTAAACATACATGTACACATCATCAAGAGCCTGCACATATATCTCTAAAATGATATTGCCATCAGCAGTTGATCAATAAGGATGCATTGAATTGGTAAGGGATAGATGATGGGTAAAGTAAAAGACACAGGCGGATCACCCTGCCCTCAAGATGCTTGTCCAGTGGTGAAGACTCTGAACTCTGAAGCAGGGCAGCCTGAGTGTGGGTCCTGGTTCTGCCACCTGCTTGCTGAGCAACGCTGACCAAGCTGCTTCCCTCTGCACGCCTCAGTTACCACATCTGTGGAATGGCCACAGCAACCCTCACTAAATCACAGGGCTATTAGGAAGATTAAATGAGCTAATTCATGTAAGCCACTTTGAAGAGTGACTGGCACATGACAAATGCTATATAAATGTTTCTTACATAAATTTAAAAAAATGGATGATCTAGTGAAGGAGAGGAGACCAATGCATTTCCTGTAATTTCAGTGCAATCCAACAGTTTCCAGGAGAGGTGTGTGCGAAGTGCTACAGAATTTAAAGGAAGGGGTAAGTGACAAGATTAAATAAGTGCAGGGGGGTTACTGGCTCTATAATAGGAGCATCACTCCATGGCAGGTCACAGGGGGCAGTGCCGAGGCCTGTGACGTGCAGGAGGGCAGGCTCTTCTTGCCGCGATGGGTAATCAGACTCCTTCCTCCTCTTTCAATGGCAGCCTCTCTTTTGGAATTTCTGCTCTAAAACTTGAAGTCCACAGGGAAGTGTTTGCTTTGATGTGTGCTTCCTCTAAAAGAGAATGTGACTGAAGATAATGCTGGCACACCCAAAGGCTGCATGTCTGCGAATATCTGCCAGTTCTATTCTTGAATATTGACATATGTCCACATTCTACAGGGGGATGCTCTGGCAATCTGATTAGAAATCTCGAAATCTGAAGTGTGACCCAGGATGTACTAATTCCCAGGGGCTAACAGTGCTCAGTACTTAAGCACGGTGGCCCAGTGGGATTCAGATGTCAAATCCCTTCCTCCAGATGTGCATTTACCAGCAGGGATTCCAATGCTGGCAGACTTTACAGCTCTCCTTGCAAAGGGTGCCCGCCTCAAAGGAAAGCATGACTTCCTTTGCTTTGCCAAATCTACAGGTAGCTTTGGGACAATGGCTCCTGTCTCGCATACTCGTTCCTTAAACAAGTGCTCTCTTGATTGGAAAAGTGATGATTTTATTTCATTTTATTTTTAGAAAAAAAAATCACTGAGCGCTGGACGCCGAGGACAGCTGGAGCGTGTGGGACGTGGGGTGCTATTTTTTCCTCGCCGCTTTGGGAACCAAGCAGATGGGTGGCCACTTGATTAGATCAGGGGCCAGATATGGTGCCTTCCAGCTGTTGGCCACATGACCACATTTACTATGGGTAAAGGTGAGAATTTCCCTTCTGTTTTCCATTTTCCCTTGGTCCTCAGCTTCTTTAAATTGTGTCTCTGGGCTGCGGAAAGCACATCTGCCTACTCCTCCTTGAAATATGCGGCTATGGATTCTCTATGGGAAAAGAATTTCCAAACACCTTCTGCAAAATATGCAATGGGACTTACGCAAAGGGACTCAGGTAACCTGAGCAGAAAGAATCTGGGCTTTTAAATGAAGTGGGGCACTTTCTCACAAGACTGGCAGGTAGACAAAGCCTCGGTTCCGAGAGAGCGTGGTCCGAGACAGAGCAGAGGACAGGAAGTGATGCTATTGCATCCTAGGGGAGGTCTGCGAGGAGTTCTTCCTGTTGGCACTGGATGTGCCTCTACTGTCCCATTGGAAACTGGTGATGAAAGATAACACTTTTCTAAGCACATTAACACTTTACAGTTTGTAAGCGCTCTATGCTTTACACATCACAAATGTGGCTTCATAAACTCCCAGCCAAACACCAAGTACTGGGGCCTCGTTTGTTCTCAAGTCCCTCCATCCTCAGACACAGGCCTAACAGTTCATGGCTGAGGAGACATAAAATCTTCTCCTGCAATCACAGGGTCTGTGAACGTGTGGGTGACAGTGGCACAGTGTCGTGACACAGATGGATCGGGTCCTAGCTATCCCACATCCTCTGTGAGCCACAGTCTACCTGTGTGTTGAATGGCGATTATTTCCTGCCCTGTGGACCTCACAGGGCTTGGCTGGATCAGATGAAACCGTGGGTGAACAACCACCTTGGAGATAAGACAGTTTCCTGTGCACGTATTGATAGTAGAAGCTGAGCATATTAATGAGTCGAGCTCTCAGGCGTATTATGATCCTCTATTGAATCTTTCTCAAGCAGTGAACCTGGGGCTCCCAAACGTCTTACATCATTGAGAAAATGAGGTCACTGCATATCTCACGTCCTCTGGTGTGTCACTTAGAAATGGCCCTGAACACAATCACTTTTGGCAGAATTCTGCTTCGGTAGTGCTCTGTGCTTTACATCTCTTTTCCTCCGTGTATTTCCTCGGTTAAGCCTCATGTCATCCCTAGGAAGTAGGTACTGCCACTGTGAGGTCACCTCGGTGGAACCGGAGCTTAGGGCTTGAGGGATTTTCCACCGACTCATCTTGTAAGGGGAGAGCCGGGAGTCGAGCCCATGTTTCCAACGCCAGCACAGGAGCCATTGTCAAGGGGTCTGTGTTGTGGGAGCCCCACGTCCAGGTTCACCCTCCTCTCTGGCAACCCACGTGCTTCAGGAAACCTCGTCCTGTCTCCTTGGTCATGTAAGCTTCATCTCTTCATCTCTTCATCCCAAGAGTCCCTGTGGGAAGGTGACTTGACACTAGTTTTGATTTTTTGTAGAAACTTCTCCAGTGCAAGGCAGGTACTCAGGGGTGGGTGCAGACTTGATTTTACAAGTACATCTGTTCTGTTTATTTTTGCTTCTTTGCAGTATTATCAACTTCTGCTCCATATGGGTGATCCATATTGTGCCTCGGTGAAATGATACCACATTATGCTTTTATCCCTTTATCATCAAACACTACTCATGAAAAAATCACCAGGTTTGCCTAGGTTCATCTGTTCAATTTATTTTTCCCAAACTTTATTTTGAATAAAACACCTACAGTAAATGTGATTTATGTAAATGAATAAAACAAAACTGTTATATAAGCTTTTTTGACATCATTCAGTCCCGTTCTGTCGGGGTGCCACTATACAAAATATTCTGGCAGCCTGTTTTCCATAGGATTATATTATTTCTGAAATCGCAGAGCCAAAGAGATAAAACTATAATATACTTTCAAATGCTTTAATTTAATTTTTTTTCCTCTTCTCTCCCCAAGCTTCCCAGATGGAGGAACTCCAATATTTTAAAAGAAGCTTTTACTTATGAGAATCTTTCAACACTATTCCAAGTGCCTGTATCTATTCCTCTCTCATACTCTCTGCATTTCTCCATTTTTCTCACACCTCTCTCCCTGATTTTATTTAAAGAATGGCAAAATCCATCTTTCCTTTTTTCTTAT